CAAAGGCTCCCGTGTTGCCCTGACCTCACAGGTTTTCAGCGCCAATTAAAGACACCGCGAGTCGGAGACTCGGTCTCCAAACTCCCCATTCCCCCCCCCCACCCACCCCCCGCGTCAGTAAGAGCGACTCAAACAACTTACACGTTAGACCACCGGGCAGAAATGACACCCTTTCTCCCTCCCGCCCCCCGAAGCGTCGTACCAAGCATGATTTTCGATCCTGCATGAAAACACAAGGGTTACTGATCACACAGTTTAAGGTAGATTTCATATTTATTTAAATATTTATCAAGTACTCAAAAATGTATTACACTTGAGCATACAAAATGAATCCAGTTTCTAATCAGGATGATTGAAATCCTTGTATTAGACATTTAACGTTTTTTTATGTTCTCTGTACTGTCGAAATGGTTTGTCTCTATAGCTGAGCTTGCTCAGCGTGGGCTGAGATGGTGAGGAGGGAGGAAAAAGAAGGTTATGTTAAGAAAACATTAGGGTTTGGAGTAACTGTCATGCAAACCAACTTGTCTTTGTCAGACTAAAAATCTCTGTGTATTCCAGTTCTTAAGGGTCTTTTTAAGCGAGCCTTTGTCTTGTGCTGGCCGGGAGCACTAGAGAGCACTTGGTCTGGAGCAAAAACAACCCTTTCCTTTTTTTTTTCCTCCTTCTTCTTCTTTCTACTTTTCCCCAAGAAATAGCCCACGTTTCTAGCTTTCACCACCCTCTCCCCCGTAAATTACAAAAGGAAGAAAAGAGGGAGTGAAGAGAGGGAAGTCGACAGAAAATAAGGAACACCATTCGTGCAATTTCATAGCAATATCCCCTCAATGTATGCCTCCTGCAGCATTTTTCAATCGTTTTGACAGCAGACACTGATAAATAATGGTCATACTTGACTTGTTAAGCAAAAAGCGTCCCTTTTATCGGGAGCTTATACATAAAGTACAGGTCACTTCAACAATCTCAACAACGAGGCTTTGGTATACAGCACTTTCTTTTTATTATTTTTAAAAAATAATAGAGCTCAGCAAAAAGCCTGAGCTCCCAGTTCTTTAGATGTCTTAACGTTATGTCAGATCATGCCTAGAGTAATATCACTTTTAAGGGCAAGGGATGGGGTGGGCCGAAAAAGAGTTTCTAACGTTATCGATTGAAAGCTAAGGCATCCAACTAGCCCTGATATAGTTGTTGAAACGGAAATTTACAAGCTGGTCGTTAATACTTGCAATAAAATATCACACTCCTTTTATTCATTAACGACCTGCTTTGCATGCAATATTTTATTTCAGGTATTTTAGCTGCTAACTTGTAAATATTTAAAAGAGGGAAATTTGTTCATTATTTAATATTAATATTATTATTTTCTCTATTCCAAACGCTTATTTAGTGACATAGTCCTGAAGATATAATAATCCTACATATGGCGCTTTTATTTCACATAATATTTAAGAAAAAAAAAAAAGACAAAAACCACATAGAATTAGACATATAATTCAAAGACCACGGTACAACCTTTTCTTTTTTTCTTTTTTCTTTTTTTTTTCCTTTTTGCTTTTACTTCAGCAAACAAAAAAAATAGTCAAATGACATGAAAAGTGGCAAGTTTTCCGATAATAAATAATAAATTACTTTATAATTTTGCAATGCAAGAGCAAACAAAAAGAATTTTTTTTCCTTTTTACTTTTACTTTTTTTTTTTTTTTTTACTTTGAGAGAGAGAGAGAGAGAAAGAGAGAGAGAAAGAGAGAGAGACAGAGAGACAGACGTTTTAACCAATGACTATACACATCTTTGGGGGAGGGGAAGGTTCTTGGACGGACACATTTCAAACACAATCCCGAGACGCTTTGTGGCAAAATAGAGGTATACCTTGTTGCAATGCTTTTATAAATTGGTTTTTAAAGAGGAATTCAAAAACCTATTTTTAATCGCTTCAGACTTGATAGCGGGTGGATCTCAACCAAACAAAACCAAAACCCCGCTACAGTACATGCTAGAAGAGACCCAGGAAACAACCTCTTGTTAAGAATCAACTAAAAACAACATTGCAAACCAATGCAGCTCCACCTTCCTGCAATGAATCTTTCAACAATGCAGGGCTAAATCGTCTCTTTCCTGATGATGGAAAACCTACTGGAGCTCCTTTTGGCAAGGCAATCACCAATATAGAAACAGCACCATTCGGATTGGGAGGGACCGGATAGAAAGTCCCTCTACCTTGGTTTCTCCCTAAGATGTGCAGTCAAATGAAAAGATTTTTTTTCACTTTTTTTTTTTTTTTTTTTGAGATCCACGAGTACAAATCCTTTACGTTTTGAAAACGTCTTTTCGATCCTCCTCTGATCACTGAATCGCGCTTTTTTGGGTTTTGTTTTGTTTTTTTTTTTTTTTAGTATTTATTCTAGTAAGATCCCATGATTGTCTTCACAGTGTTGCTACCATATTACCTTGTCTTTTCAAACATGGCTCCGTTCATTTCATGGAGTGGTTCCTTGCTAGGTTCATTACAGGGTTGTTAAATACTTTTTCCCCTTAAATTTCGGAGTCCCAATGTGATCACTTCCCCACTTTCTCCAACAGGGCTGAGGGTAAGGGCAGAAACAACAACAACAGAAATCTGAATGAATGTTCCTCATGCCTCAATAGGACTGGCTACCATGCTGTTGGGTGTATCTGGCAGCTGAGAGGACATTGATGCTACTTCACTTCCAGTAGAATTGGAACCAGGTCCTCCTTCTGAAAAATTAACCTGCCAAAAAAAAAAAAAAAAAAAAAAAAGAAGAAAAATAAGAAAAAGAAATGTTGTTACAACTGTAACAATCAAAGAAAAGTAGCAGGCAAAGGCAAAGAAGAACGCAAAAATAAATACACAGACATGCAGCTGAACGGCCTGATACATCTCCACGGGAGGCTGTGTCACTGTTTGTTGCTTTGTTTAGCTTCCCCGTTGGCTTCACAGGAGTTTTCTTCAGGTCTTGGGACAACTCACCAAAAAAAAAAGCGGGTTAAAAAAACCTTAAAAAAAAAAGACTGAAAAATAAATCAAATAAACTTATTAATGACACCATCTTCCCTGTCTTGCAAGAGTGGCAATCCCAACAAGATGTTCTAGTCAATTATTTAAGAGTGCATGTGTTTTTTTGACACAAAACTGCAAGGTTATTTTTTTCCCCTTTTGTGCACATACTAAAATAAACCTGGAAGGAGCATCCAGGAGCAGAAGTCATTTGAAACAAGCCATCCTCTTTCATTTGTGATTTGAAGCGGGTGCTATCTCTTTTTAACGAGAGTCAGTTTGATAAAAAAGGTCACACTTCTCCATCCTAATGTGCCCCGTGGCTCCCGTTAGTTTAGGAGCAGCGTTGGGAAAAGGCATGATTTGAAGGGTGGAGCTTTGCTAATCCAAAAGCATTTCTTTGGCACCTATTTAGCTGGCCGATCCTGTGATTAAGGCGCTTTCCAGATTACAGACATGCCTTGAATGGTCGATGGTCTGTTCCATCCACAATTCTTTATTTTAACTCTTTTCAGTGTCAGACATTATGTCCAATATATATCAATATTCATCTGTCTATCTAATGATCTATCTACCTATATGCATGTGTGTATTTGCTCTATCCATCTTCAGAATGCATAGAGATAGCCTTTTTTTTTTTTTAGAACTACTCCATACAAAAACTCACTGCATCGAAGGCTTTTAAAGTATCCTATTCTGTTAAGGCAAAATAAGTAAGGCAGCTGAAAGAGATCACTTTTTCTTGTGTCTGCTTGGCAGCTTGATTAAAGCAGGAAAACGGGTGGCTGCTCTAGAGGTAAGCTGCTGCTGCGCTACAGCTTCCCGAGTAAGCATGGTGTGCCAGGGGAGGGAAGCACGCTGCAGCCTGCCACTGGGCAAAGGAAAAGCGATCCTGCAAGAGAGAGCGATACTAAACTGAAAACAATTCTAGACATGGCTACAAACCTTTGCTTCACTTCGAAAAAATGCCCAACAGATCAAAAAAGGGTTTATATGTTAATTTTTCATCATTAATTATTATTTTGAATCACTGAAAAACCATACACAACATACCTTATTATTTTAAAGTTCTGGTTTTAACACACTTAGGCCAGGAAATTGAGTTAAGGCTGAACTTCTGTCCTTAATTCACCTTGTTGGGCCTAAGTATTGTGGATGGTATGGTCCCATATGAGCTGCCAAATGACGTAGGCGTAAGGAAGTGAGTTAAGAACAGAATTTATTCTAGAAGATCTGTTTTCTTTCGGCTTAAGGCAGTTTATCACATTGTTTGAATTTTCCACATGAATATGTACTATCAATTCCCTTTCCAAAACACAACGTTTAATGTAAGCTATATAATGTCTGTATTTGTGTGTATATATGTATAGACAGATATCTAAAGTTGTACCTAGAGGCATATGCGTAAAACAAGGACTTCAAAAATTTAACTAAGCTCTTCATGTTTGTGTGACAAAACAAGGGCACAGGCTGACATTGCAATCGTGTTTAAAATCCACCCTGTCACATAAAGGCAAAATTGGCCCGAAGGGGGGAGGGGCGAATTTTAGAAACTGCTTTCGCGAATGTACATGCAACTAAACGACACGTGAAGAATGTCTTAGTTCTCTGGATAGAGATGCTTTTAGTTTTCAGGAGTGTGTGAGCCGAGTTAGTCTCAGACCTGGGTCGGGCCTTATCCAGCTCCCGCTCAACTCGGCAAGAGCTCTGCTGTGCACTCAGGTAGATTTTGCACCAAGACCTGTTAAATCAATTCAGTTCGCCGCACTTACAGTGTGCCATCACGCCCACCTTGCAATTTCGGGAAAACCCGGCTAGTCTGGATTGCTCATCTCTCTGAGGGCATCCGGCACGTTTAGAGAATCCCCTGTTGCTCTGCCCCGAGTGGAGGCTGGCCTGCACCGGCTGGGAACCGACACTTACTAGTTGCTGAAAAGCAGGTTGGTCTATGTCACTCTGCAATGCGAAGTCACTCAGTACTTTCCAGGGCGGCTGGTAACTCTGCACCTCCACCGGGTTCGCCTGTAAACCACCGTCATGTCTCTCCGGACTAGCAGCCACCATCGGAGTTCCTGTCATCCCTTGGATATTCTGTAAACAGCCCAGCAAAAGATGTTAATGAGCTTGGTTAACTTTATTGTGTATAAGCGCTGAGTCAATAAACTGCTTTCTATCTTATCTATACAGTCGCTTGTATTTGCTTTGTTAATCTGCTGTGAATGTCTTACTCTATTCTACTCTAGGTCAGCCTATTTCTGCCCGCTGCATTTATCACGGTGGAAGTTTACTTTCTTTCCTTTTAATCCTCCTATTTCTCTCAAGGCATACCCCCTCCGCCCCAAGCTTTCTTAAACACGAGCACTCTGTATCTTGGCTGCCGATGCACGGCTTGGCGCAAGAAACGGTTAATCATGCTGCCTTTCTATGTCGCATCCAGGCTGGTTTTGTTCTGCATGACCTTAACTGGATCGTATATCCACTGCACGGCAAACCTGGGGTACGTCAGTACCGCGCTCTTTCAAAAAAAAAAAAAAAAAAAAAAAAAAAAAAAAAAAAAAGAAAACCCCAGCCCTCCCAGTATGCCCTGTGGTGCAGGCACTGTGTACAAAATAACTCCGAGCCTCGACGAATAGATTGTTCAGGCGCTTAAAAAAAAAAAAAAAAAAAAAAAAAAAAAAAAAAAAAAAAAAAGAAAAGAAAAAAAGAAAACCCCAGCCCTCCCAGTATGCCCTGTGGTGCAGGCACTGTGTACAAAATAACTCCGAGCCTCGACGAATAGATTGTTCAGGCGAGTTAATAACATCGTGTTTTATTGCATTCCGACAGGGTAAAATGAAACTTCTTAAATTCCACTTAACTAGGCAGCCTTGTGAATTAATAGTCATTCTCAGGTCAGTCAATATACACAGGGAGAATAACAGACTCTTCTTCATGTGGACTAACAACAACAGGAAAAAAAAAAAAAGTTGGCTTAAAATGTAGA